TTAATTTTTTTTAAAAAGAAAGCCACTGCCTCACTGGAATCCGGCCACCGGCACCGGAGCTCCGACGGCTGCTTCCGGCCACTGTCGGCGGCCAGACGCCAGGGTCCGGCCGTCGGAGCTCCGGCGCCGGCGGCCGCTTCCGGCGGTCTTTCTTTGTTTTTTTTTTTGAAACTGTTTTTTTTTTTTTAAATTGGGGGGAAGTGAGGTTGGGGGGATTTGATCCCCCAACCTAATACTTCCCAAAATAAGGAATGACCATTGAGCCAACAAATTTTTGTTAACATTATGATGCAAAAAAAAATATAAGTTAACTCATTTACTTTTGTTCCAGGTGATAATAACAATACATTTTGAAATAACAAGTTCTGATTATAAAATAACACGTCTGGAATAAAAATTTAACAATATGTTTTTTTTATAACAATAAATTTTGTTGCAGGTAATAACAACAATACATTTAAAAATAACAAGTTCTGATTATAAAATAACAAGTTTGGGATTAAAATTTAATAACACGTTTTTTTTATAACAATACACTTTGTTTCAAGTGATAACAACAATACATTTAAAAATAACAAGTTCTAATTATAAGATAATAAGTCTAGGATTAAAATTTAACAACACGTTTTTTTTATAACAATTAATTATTTTATACTTTTAAAAAATAAATTATTTATAACTTATAAAAAATATTTTTAATATATTTATTTCTCTAAAAAAATACTTTTTAATCTGTATATCTATACAACTCATTATAAATCAAACTACTTCTTATAAATTATAAAGTATTTATAATAAGGCATTTTTGATTTATTAATCATAGTATAAATTTTATATTATTTCATTCTTTAAATATTAAAAATAGTTTTTATATTTAAAGAATAAAATAGTATTTTTAATTATAAATTAGAGATAAATTTCATTTATAAATTTAAGTAGTCAAAAAGTATTTTTAATCCACAATAAATTGTACTATTTATAATTTATAAGAAGTAATTTGATTTATAATAAGTTGTATAGATATATAGATTAAAAATTTTTTTAAAAAAATTAAAAAAGTGTGTTGCCATTTTCCCTAAATTTTATTTATAAATTTGAACAATAAAAAAGTATTTTTAATCTATAAAAAATTATATTTCAAGTTCTGATTATAAATTGGAGATAAAAATTATTTTTTTAGCAAATTAAATAGATTACAAGTACTTTTTATAAGTTATAAATAATTTATTTTCCAAAATTATAAAATAATTAATTGTGATAAAAAAAAAGGTGCTGTTGAATTTTAATTCCAGACTTGTTATTTTATAATCAGTACTTGTTATTTCCAAATGTATTATTGTTATCACTTGAAACAAAGTGTGTTGTTATAAAAAACATGTTGTTAAATTTTAATCCCAGACTTATTATCTTATAATCAGAAATTGTTATTTTTAAATGTATTGTTGTTATCACTTGAAATAAAGTGTGTTGTTATAAAAAAAACGTGTTGTTAAATTTTAATCCCAAACTTGTTATTTTATAATCAGAACTTGTTATTTTTAAATGTATTGTTGTTATTGCCTGCAACAAAATTTATTGTTATAAAAAAAAACATATTATTAAATTTTTATTCCAAACGTGTTATTTTACAATCAGAACTTGTTATTTCCAAATGTATTGTTGTTATCACCTGGAACAAGAGTAAATGAGTTAACTTATATTTTTTTTTGCATCATAATGTTAATAAAAATTTGTTGGCTCAATGGTCATTTCTTATTTTGGGAAGCATTAGGTTGGGGGATCAAATCCCCCCAACCTCACTTCCCCCCAATTTAAAAAAAAAAAAACAAAGGAAGACCGCCGGAAGCGGCCGCCGAACTCCGGCGTCCTGCCGCCGACAGTGGCCGGAAGCGGCCGCCGGAGCTCCGGCGCCGGTGGCCGGATTCCGGTTAGGTAGTGGCTTTCTTTAAAAAAAAAAAAATTAAAGAGAGGTATTTTGGTAATTTGGCCATGATTTCATAATTACAATTTGAGACCGGGTCCCTCATAGTAATTTAGCATATTCAGGTGACCATAGAGTGATTTTGCTAATTCGAGGGTCTTTATTTGTGATTTCCCCTTGAACATATTCTATTCTACAAACATGGATGCATATTGCTGTACGCAAGCTCCCACCCTAATAAATAACCTATCGATCTCCTTCGCTGTTTGTCCACAATATTTAGTGAATTCTGGTGTTCATAGTTCTTCCTTTTATCCCTATTTCTAATTAACTTAAAAAAGAGTGACAACAAGAAATTTAATTTGTCGATGCATTATTAGTATGCTGATGTTTTTTTCTTCAGAAAAAAAAAAGGTCATTGATAGGTATCACGCATACATTCATAGCGGCACAATAAGTGAATAACGAGCTTCCCGTGTAACATTTAAAGGTTTGATGATGTTTTAGGCATGCGCAAGATTGTTTTGGATATTTAAAGAAAATATAGCATTGAATTTGATGATGATGATGATGATGATGATGTTATTTAATTTAAAAGCTGAAGAGTTTTTTGGACCTGCATGTCTCTCTCTCTCTCTCTGCCTGAACCTACATATCTCTCCTAGCTACTGCAATTTCATGAAACAGAAGACATGGATTACAAGAATTTCCACATGTTATTTATGAATAGGGTAATTGAGCAGAAGAAAAGTGAATTGGGTAATTGTCCAGGCCAGGATCGAGGAGGAGGATAACAACTGGAATTCGAGACACATAAACCCCGACTTTCTTTTGTCTCATATCACACTCAATCCCTTCAGAATTTGTCATTGTATTTCAATTCATTCTTATTTTTTTTCACTGCACCCGAATATTAGTGAAAGGCATACAAATTAAATAAAATGGTATTGATGTGTGAAAAAATTCTAGGCAAAGTAGCATGTACTTTTAGAACGAAAGAAGAAATCAGAGAGAAAATAAATCTTCTAGAAATGCAAAATGAAAAGGGAAAGAAAATGGCTACATATGCATTGTTTGTATAATAATATTATTATTATTTATAATAATTGTTGCCGCCAGAAAACATTTTCCTAGTGATAGCGTGGTAATAATACCCATTTTATGCATTGAGAATGGTTTCTTAGAATTATGTGATGTTTAAGTTTTGATAAATGATTTTCTGCAGACTAAAGTAGCACAGATTAATGGTTTATAGTATAATGAGTTCATATCAAAATTTTAAGATGAGATCCTCTCAAAAAGGTTGCTGCAGAAGATAATAAGACATGAAAGGGATATGACCATTGGTGCAGCAATTTTCTTGGATACAACACACTTGTGACTTCCATCTAGGAAAACAAAATCGAAACACCTTGACGAGAGGGCAGGTATTTTGATGGATGGAACATTATGGAGTAGTTAACTTCAATTAATGGGGAGATTGAGAAACTAACGTCAGATTTCAGATCTTCAATTATCAGTTTGCTTTCACATGGTATCCGTATGTGGTGGAGGAAATAGTATAGGCTTTGGTTTGTATCTTTTATTCTTGTTCTAATGTCTTAAAAGTTCCCGACAGATAGTAATATTTGTTGTTGATCACGTAGTTAGAATTTTGTTGTCTACATTGTCCGCTTGCAGTGAGCACAAATAAAGAAGGCCCTCAATTGCAGAATTAGAAGTTAGGAATGGGCTAAAACCTTTTGATTTTCTTTTTCTCTTTGCTCTGTATGCTTTGGGTCAAACCCTAATACTCCAATCACTTAAACTGCAACTCCATTATCCAGAAACAAAAACACACAAAAAGGCCTAAACTCTTTCTTCTGGATCGGCGCACCTGGGTCCCTATCTATTTTTTTTTTAACACGTTCTACCCAATTTATTATTACAGCCCAACGAACGTACAAGACAATGCGAAGAAAGCCATGCATGCGTAACAGACATGGGGAATCAAAGTGAAGTGAGTCTCATTTTAGCTCGTCAGCCTGTTTTATACTACACAAAGTTTTTAAAAATAATTGAAAATAAGTTCATCTAATTGAAATTGCATAATTTAAAGAAAATACATACTTTCTGCTTACATGGATTTTGAATATTATATTGTACAGCATATTAATATAGTAGTCTTAAATTCCAAGCATTTGCTTAAAGATTCAGATTTTTTAAAGCACGCATTCTACCATTTTTTTGGGAAAAAAATATTAATTCGCGAAACTGCTTCATTACGAACATCTCTAACCCTACTAAAGTGGTTTGGGAAGCAAGTATTACTTTTACATGTCCAATTTTCTGTATATTTATTACTTATAGATTCGCATTCAATCACCATTACCTTGTTAAAAATATGTACTGATGCTAATCTCTAACATACCTAAATTAATGTTATAATTTTATTTACTTGCATTTAATATTATATTACAGGGCTTGCTGTTATACTTTCGGCGCCTTTTGCTACCAGAGCCAAAAAGTGAGTGCTTCCTTTCCCACTTTCCTATCTCAGTCTCTCATGCGCGGAAGTGGTAAGTTGGACGAATTAGTGAAGCTGGGGAAAAAACCGTGTGAATCCACAACCCTAATTCTTGCGGTTCGTGTGGGAGGCAGTTCAGCTGGGCAGTGTAGGAGGCGCCATTTGATTGAGGTTAGTGTGTCTCTTTGATGAGTTCTTTATTTTTTATTTGCTGCTTTGGCCTGTAACAGAAATCTCAGTACAATGCCTGCTATATTCTGCTTTTGGAACTTGAATCCTTGTGTGTCAGGAATTAAACGCATTTGATCTTAATCCCATCTTCTATTCTCTGTTATGGTTTAGCTGAGCTTAGTCTGTCTCTGTTTTTTTCGGTTGATAACTTTAGGCTGTTTCTGATAGCTGGAGAAGAACAGAATGAGAGATCTTATAAATCAGACCAGGATTTGGATATTTGTGGGATCCGTGTCAGCCATAAATGGCCTGGTTTGTTTTCTTCTCAGTTCCACCTACAAAATGTTATTTGGAAAGTGGGGTATTGCCGGTCTCCTTTTCTACATATTGCTCAGTTCAATTATGTTTTACCTCATCTTGTGGGGCAAGAGAATTCCAGTTCCAGAGAGACACCAAGGTCCTGTGAAAGCTCTGGTTTTTGTTGTGATATGTTCGATCTCCGTGCTGCTTGACAAACTCGTGCCTGGAAACTCAGATGGATGGAGCATTATCTCGTATGCTTCGTTTGCCTTGATGTCACTGTTCACGTCAAGGAAGTCTGAGCTAGGATTCGAAACTGGGTTCTTCAGTTTTTTCCTGTCATTGTTTGTCGAACAACTTTGCAAAACCAACTTGAAACTCTCACCGATTGCAGTAGTTTTTTGCTTGGTGGTCCTTATTCTTCGCCACTACTCAGCATCCGGAGTACAGTCTGGCTCCATCGCTCCAAATGGCTATCATCATGTTGGAGTTGGTCCTCCAAATGCAGCTGTAATAGACATTGGCGATGATGATGAGGTCTTAATTGAGGTTCGCAGCAAAACATTATTCAAGCAATTATTGAACCTGACGTCAGATAAGTGTTACTCGAACTAACATGTACTTTATGCTTGTGGATTTTCCTTCTTTGCAGAGCCAAGACTCCCTAGGGATGGGAGAAGTTTCGGGGCAAAGCCTGTTATCTGCCCGCAATCAGCAAAATAACCAAGAGGAGCCTTCTCAATCTGTAAGTGACCAAAGCGGAATATAAATATTCAGTTTACTCATATACTTCTCTAGCCTCTCATATAACACAAACTCACACACAGACCAGTCACTGGGGCGAGAGGATTATGTGAAATAGATATAGAAATTAGAAAGAGAGGGAGGGAGAGAAATGCGAAGAACAGAAAGGGAGGGGGAAGAGAGACGACAAGAAAGGAAGAGGAAGTAGTTATTTCAACAAGGCATCAAATCATGTTTCATTCATCAAAAGTCTGCAGCATGAGTTGCATGGTGGATATTTATAGAAGCCGCTTGGTTGCCACGGGCCCGTGTGCCCTGATATATGGCACCATTACGACTCATTAGGCTGAGGGTTCTAACCTTGCAATGGCATGGGTGAAGGAAATCCTGCTTTATGTGAATAGCAGCCATTTGTGGGATGACAGATTAATATCCTTTGTTACGATTGAACTCATCTCCTTGCCCTCCTTCCCCCACCGTCTCTCTTCTGCTTTCCCTTTCTTTCCCTCTTCTTCTGTAACCCTCCCCCGGACTCTCCTGTTTGAATCCTCTGTAGCAGCGTGTTGCATGGCATCTGTCTCCTGTTAAATGGCTGAACATGTTTTGTTACTCTCATACAGACCCATCATTCCTGGGGGATGGAAGAAATTTCAGAGGAAAGCACATCAGATAGGGGCAATGAGCAAAATAACGAAGCAGAGGAAGATCCTTCGTCTTTGGCAGCTGTAGGTGGTCAAATCCAACATTAATGTTCATTTGGGTAATTGCATGTATGTTTCAGTCTCGGGTTAATGGTTTCCGTTTTTCGCAGGAATCCCGGGACCAAGATCATGTTCCATCAGGAAACAACCAGGTCACAGTCCAAAACGGCAGGACGCACCCAGGGCCTGAGTTAAGGTACTCTCTTAAATCCCCATATCCTACACTGTTTATGCTCAATATTTAGTGTCATGGCAATTATAATTGCTGGTAGTAAATGCAATTTGTATGGATCACCTAAAAAAACCAAAGAATACAATCCCCCATAGGCGAAGCCCCAAACTCTATCACTACGACCTCGCTGTTTCTCAGCAGAAACTCTGATCAGATGCAATACTCAAGGCAGACAGTATAGCTATTTCGAAGAAAAGTTTTTTTAGAGCTATCTCTATTGTGATTTCATTAAACTGAGGATATGCTTTACAAGAATTTATACATTATATTTATGTGTGTTGTGTGTTGCGCAGGGGGAGGAGGAAGAGGGGGATGGCGACTGGAATTCAAAGCGTATCGAGCCGCGTGGGAGGCACGCTCGGTCGGTTGCAGCGGCAGGTGGCCCCCAACTTTCGACTTCTTTTTTTTTTTAATAATATACATAGCGCCGAAAGCAGGGAGACAAGGATGACCCCACATTGACATTGACACTTCTAGGAGAAGGCATCTTTGCCAAACAATGCTTTTATCTGAACTATGCATCACGTGCTTTCCTCTTCCAACAACTTTTGTAATGATCATTAGATCTTAATCCCCTTTTTTTGTGTTCAAGGTGATCTTTAAATGTATGTAAAATTCTGATATTTTTTATTTAATTAGAACAATTTATGCGTCAAGGTTGTTGGGTTAAAAATATGTGTACAAATAAAATACTCTAGTATCATTTTGTATTTTTACTTCATTTAAATACAAATTTTAAACAGAAGTAACAGAAGTAGGATGCTTTGTGTTTATAACTCCATCAGTATTTACTACTATAACAAATTATTCTATATGATATATGATATGGTCTTGCCGCTGAGATTGAAAATAGACGGCAGATGAGAAAGGCAGATCTGAGGGAAAACGATGAAGGAGACCAAGCCAAAGGCCCCAACTCTGTTACATCGTTTGGAATGTTTTAGGGAAATTCCACCGTCAATCTACGAATGCAAGATAATTGGTGAACCAACAAGTGGAACACATCGTTTCGTTGCGATTCTGAGAAGCTAATTCAGAGACATTATTTCCCATATCTCCATTTTTCAAGCTGATCAAAAGCTTTGAACTATGTCTCGTTTGAAATAACTCATAGATCATTTTAATTTATAAAATATGAGATAACAATATAAATAAAGTTTTTTCTCAAACTTACATGTGCTTATATAAGGGATTTCAAACAAATAAGTTGAAGGTGGCTTCTGCGCACATTCGAGAGCTGACTCCTTCACTCTATACTAGTACTTCATTACCATTTGTTGCTGATTGAAATTTTTTACGGGTGGTTCTCTCTGTGACATTAATTTCTTAATAGAAGCATCAAATATCATATGCACAAATTAAAAAAAAAAACGATTTCCCAAAAAATTTAGTCTACTAAGAAACAAGCCTATTGAACTTATAAAATTCACCTCTCTGCCGAGACTCTCCTTGAGTCCTTGGCATAACACTCATAGCGTAGCATTATCTATGGTCTTCTTCTTGTTTTTTTTTCGTTTTCCCTCTCAAAATGAGAGAGAGCTAATCAAGTCCTTATACACTTTAACACATATATGTATATTTTTTCGCAGGCTTCCTTCATTGTTTCTTCTATTGGATCTTGTCGATCGGGTATTTACTACATCCATACATTCAAATGGCCCCTCCATGTTCTGAAGAATAAGATTCGACAGCGACAAACAGTAGTTGGCCAATAAAAGACAATACAGCACAAATTTGATTTTTCTCAGCAATAATGCATAAGACATGCTTGCAATTAATTGTCGACGTCTAGCCTAATATTATCGCGCTCTGGTATCCACTAATGACTAATTAATATACTCTGATTGTTGGCCCAAAGAAGTTAAAAACGTTATTTTCGATTTTAATTTCCAAAAAATAAAAATTTTAAAAAAATATTTTTATTTTCAAAATTAATTTATATTATCTCTGGTTCCAATTATAAGACCTTATTTGCAATCTATAAACGGGAAGCACATTCCATGCTCATCACAATGATGAGCATAAAATGCTCATCGCAATTTAGACCATCCAGATTGATTTTAGATGGTTTGGGTTGAATTTAAATTTTTATATATTTCAATCAACTTTTTGTTTTAATAGATACAGAATTTAAAATAAATATAATATCATAACTAACATATCTTTAAAAAATAAATTTATCATTGAAAAAATTGTATATTAAAAATTTTAAATCTGAACTATCTACATTAAATTTTGAATGGTTTAGATTGCATTACAGTGATGAGCATATGACACTCATCATTATATATAATGAGTATTGAATGAAAATCCATACAAACGAGGTTTTATAATTAGGACCGAAGGTAGTATTTTATGGGAACCAGTTTTGGTGCTCATCATTTTGATGAGCACCATAAACTCATCAAATTTGAACCGTTTATATCTCATTTGGATGATCCATATTTGATTTTTTTAATTAATTATTTTTGAATAGAAAAAACTATATTTTGAAAGAATGATAGTTAAAAGATTATCACTATTTTAGATTATATACTTATTAAAATAATTATTTTAAATAAATAAAAATAAAAAAATTAAATCTGTACTATTCAAATAAGATATAAACGGTTTAGATTTGATGAGCTTATGGTACTTATCAAAGTGATGAACACTGAAACTGAAACTGAGTTCTATTTGATGTAATAAACTACACGTTAACATTCATAATCCAACCCAAATCGGTTCAAAACCCAGTTTATATATATATATATATATATATATATATATCAATAAAGTCTAAACATTTTTTTGAGGACAGAGAGACCCCTCCCCACCGACACTTCCCATCTCAAAGTTTCCTGAAGTGAAGATCAACGGTTATGATATATTCTCACTCGATCAAACCTGATGTTACGCAGGTTTAAGTATATATATTCTCCCGGGATCAATTACACACACACATATATATATTGATATCTTGAGTATTTTGAATTTGAATTTGAATTGCTCTTATATATGCAAGAAGGATAGAGTGCCAAGATACCCAGAGACAAGCTTTTAATTAGTCCCATAATCTTCCACGGCGGTCGTTTTGCTGACAGGCCAACCCCTCTTACGACACTAGTGACCCTTCCATGACTCCCTATTGGTATCATACTCTCCATGTTAAGGGTATACCTCAACATCCCACTTCCGGAAACAGATGTTCGGTACAACTGTAAGCTTCCGGGCATCAGAATCCTTGTCAAGGGCACCCCACCCCCTCCCCCGAAGACCGGCCAAAGTGGCGTCCTTTTTGTCTGCAACTCTCGTACGGCCGTGGATCCTGTAGTTATTCCAGTGGCTCTCGAGAGAAAAGTCAGCAGTGTCACCTACAGCATCAGCAAGTTCAGTGAAATAACATCGCCAATGAAAACCGTTGCTTAGTTGAGAGACAGAGAGAAAGATGCAGGGTGCTTCAGGAAGGTGACTTTTGTGATTTTTCCTGAAGGAACCACTTGCGGAGAACCATTTCTGTTAAGGTTCAGCGCTCTTTCTGCTGAATTAACTGAGATGATTGTTCCTGTGGCTATCAACACGAAGCAGACTCTGTTTAATGGGACCACAGTTCGTGGGCATAAGATTTTGGACCCTTGCTTTTGCGTCCATGAACCCTATTCCTGCATTTGAACTCACTTTTCTGGACTAGCTTCCTGTTTAATTAGCTGACATGTAAGGGAGGGCAGCCCAGTTTTGGAGTTGCGAATTACATTCAGACAATTCTTGGTGGGACGCTTAGGTTTGAGTGTACAAATCGAACGAGGAAAGATAAGTACATTATGCTTTCTGGAACAGATGAAAGGATTGCAATATTGCATTTGAAAAGGAGGAGGAGAGTATGGAGACTCGAAAGCTTGAAATTAATTAAGTGATACATGGTAGATTGGATATTCTTTTGTATTCTGAATTTAGTGTGTTCCCAATGTGTCTCTAAATTTTTAGAACAATGTGTGTGCATACATGCAGCAACAAGCCAATAAACATGTAATCATATTTGCGATAATTAAAGTAATCAATATTCTATATGATTGTGCTTTTATTTTGTTC